AGCTAGTCTGTTTATATTCATGATAATTATGAATAGGAAGGTCTTGCTATAGCCATTTTGTAACTCGTTTTTTACTTTTATTGTAGCTCTTTTTTCTCCCCCTCTTATAGCCATCCTTTGTAGTTGAGTGATTTACTCTTGTAGTGTGTTTTAATTCTTTTTTATTTTTGGCTTATCTATTACAGATTTTTCCTTTGCAATTGCCATGAGGCTTACAAAAAACATCTTTTGATTATAACAAGCTATATTTAAATAGCACCTTAAACATTGTAAAGAACAGAAACAAAAAGCAAAAAGAATTAAACATACTAATAAGAAATTCTACTCTTAGAATTTAAAATTTTGTTATCAGGGCTGATGGAATAGTTCAAGTGGTTTAGCACCTTCCTGCCTAACAGGCATGTGGCCCTGCATTTAGCTTCCAGTACTACAGAAAAATAAAATAATATTTTTGATGTTGATGATCAAGAGGATCACAGTTCAAGGCCATTCCAAGCAAGACATTAGCAAGATCCCATTTCAATCAATAAGTCAGGATTGGTGATGCAAGCCTGTGATCCCAGCTATTGGGAAACTTTATATAAGAGGATCACAGCAACATGCTGCCTGAAAAAAAAGTTCTGGAAGTATGGCTGTAGTGATGGAGTGCCTGCCTATCAAGCATGAAACCTGAGTTCAAACCTAGTACCACCCCTAAAAAATATTTTATTCCCATTTTGCATCTTTCTGTACTGTCTCTTACCTTATTAATGTAGTTATTATTTTAATTTCTTTTTTTAGTCTTCATACTAAAGATATAAATGGTTTATATACAATGTTTACATTTTCAGTGTTACACATTCTCATCTTACTACTGAGTTTGATGTCTGCACATGTTTTCTTATTAACATCTGTTTTAGTTTGAAGAACTGTTAGCATTTCCTATAGGACAGTTCTGGTGGACACATGTTCCCTCAGCTTTTCTTTTTCTGGTAATATCTTTATCTCCATTTCTAAATGATAACTTTAGTAGCTACAATATTCTTAGTTAACAGATTTGGGTTTTTTTTTCCTTCAAAACTGAAATTTTCATGTTGCTGTCTCCTGACTGTAAGGTCTTTGTAGAGAAGTATAATGAGGCAAATTGGGACATGCTTATGTGTTTCTTTTCTCTTCCTGCCTTGAGATTCTTTTTATCTTTTACTTTTGAGATCTCGATTATGATGTATCTTGGGAGGGGTCTGATTGATGATCTTTGACCTTTTTGTACCTGGATATTTGTTTTCTTGGTTTTAGCTTTTCTGCTATTATTTCTTAGAATAAACCTTCTTCCCCTTTGGAAATCCCAGGTCCCTCTTGAATTCCAGCAACTCAAAATATTTGCTCTTTGATTGCTGTCCCAAAGTTGCTTCATTCCTCTTCATTCATTTTTCTGCTCTGAATATTTTCACATAGCCTGTCTTTGAGCTCACTAATTCTCTCTTCCATTTGATCTTTCTTGATGTTTATGCCTTCTACCACATTTGTGTTCTTCAGCTCAAGAAGATCTGTTTGGTCTCTTTTAATTCCTTCCATTTCTTTTTCACATGTCTCTCTTATTCAATAGTTTATTTGTATATTCTTTGAACTCATTGAGTTTCCTTAAAACAGCTGTTTTAAATTCTCCCATATTGGTCAGTTTTTGGTACCTTAATTTGACTGTTGGGTCAGTTCTTTATACTTGGTATGTGGCATCATCTAAGCATTGAAGGAGCAGGTGTTTATTTGTATTCTCAGAGCTGTAGTCACTTGCACTATTTCATCACTAAATGGCACCCAAGTCCACACTTGCCAAGCCAGATGTTGATGTATTGTCATTATTTGAACACTAGAGGGTGATCCAAGCCCAAGTTTGTCCTAGATCCACAGTTGGTATGTAATTTAGAATAAACAAGGATTATACCTAGAAAGGTTGGTCATCCCCATAAGCCTCTACTAGTGTAATCCCAGGCACCTTTTCCATAGTTACTGACCTTTGGCTAGACACTGCAGTATGCCACACTCTGTTGCACCATGAGCCCCCAACCCACCTACAGCACTGCTGCAACACATATTACTGTTGGCTGCCTTCTGCTGAAGTGGACTCACTGCCCAAGAGTGATACAGCCAGCACAGGTAATCCTAGATGAACTAGAAGTCTGATAGACTAGAATGTTTGATTGTCCCTGGCTGTAGGGAAGCTTTGTCCTTAGGGAGGCCTGAGGATGGTGGCCTTTAGAATTTCCAAAGCGTTAGATTTTTCCTGCTTGCCACTAAGTTCCAGGTCATATTCCTGTGGTTATTACTTTGTACTACCCTTAGTAATGGGGTCTTTCTGTGCTACCTGGGATGGGGTAGTATTGGCGATGACAGTTCCTTGGCCACTTAGGCTGATATTAAGTTGGATTGCACCTGAATTTCACAACCACAAGGGCCCGAACAGTCTCATGGGCACAAAGGGCCCACATTGCAGATGGTGGCGATGCAGGCTCAAACTCAACTTTATACCACCTGTCTCTCCCTGGGCTCCGGGGCAGATCTGGAGCTCCATCTGAGAGGACTGGCTGCCAATAGCTGTGGTGCTCAAGGTTGGGGCTTAGGTGGCAGAAATAGTCCTTTGGCCACCATGGCTGAGGCTGATGTAAATTGTACTTGAGTCTCGTAGCTACAAGGGCCTGCACAGACTTGGTGTGAGAAGTGGACCCAAGAACACTAACACAAGGGTTTTTCGCCTGGCATGTCTAAAAGGTTCCATCTGCAAGCTCTAATCCATGTAAGTGGATTTTAGTTTCTACTCAGTGCTGGGTCTCAGTGGCAGACCTGGTACTGAACTTGAAGACAAAGTCCTATACTAGCTTTCATGCCCTTCTCCCTAGAGGTGGAGTTCTGCTCTCTGCTTTGCCACCCCAGGTTGGAGGAAGGGTGGTAGAGACAGACTGTGCTGTCTGGCTGAAACAGTTTCAGTGGCTCTGTCTGCTAGTACTGGCCTGATGGGAAGGGTTATATAGAGCTTTGCCCAGAATTGTGTTTCACTGTGGTGGACCTGGTACTGGGTTTCAAGTCTAAGGCCTGGATTTAATTTGTTCTCTCTCCCTCCCTCTCATGTGGAAGGTCTCTTAGGAGGCATCTCTTTGCTTGGAGTTGGGGAAGGAGTGATTCCAACAACTTCCTTCCTTTCTTTAATGAGTCATTTCATTTTATTATACTAAAGGCAGGTATTATAGTCTCTGTAGCTCTTGTGAAGGTAGTGTGCTGCATGAATAGCTGTCTGGCTATTCTGTGGGATATGATTGCCAGAGGATCTTACTCAGAGAATCTTGTCATCTTGCTCCATCTTCTGTTCTACATAATTTTAAATACAATATTCTGCCTGAAATTCATTTGGATTTAGAAATACAAAAGGTAAGAATGGTGTTTGGTAAATTGGTCTTGATAAATTTAGCAGGCATAGACACGGTGTCAATGTTTCCTTTCCTTCCTTTGAGTGAACAGTTACAATGCTTTGCATGTGGTAGGTTTCAGCACAGAAGTTATTCATTTAGTCACCTTGATCTGCTAACTTATTGTTACTTCATAGTCTGTTTTTAAATAAGCTTTTTATCTTGAGATCATTGCAGATCCATAAGCGCTTATAAGAAATTATGCAGTGAGTCTGTGTACTCTTTGCCAAGTCTTTTTCTCTGACTGCTTTCGATTTTTTTTCTTACTCATTAGTTTTCAGGAGTTTGTGATATCTCTTGGCATCTGTTTATTTGAGTTTACTTATTTGAGTTTTGCTCAGCTTTTATTATCTATAGGTTTAATAAGCCACTTTCCCACATTTGGATAGTTATTAGTTGTTGTTTCTTTAAGTACTTTTATAGTCCCATCCTCTTTATTTTCTCCTTCTAGGACTCCAGTGACACAAATATTGGATGGTTTATTATCCTCCTACAGGTCCCTGAAGCTCTCCTCATTTCTTTCTAGATTGTTTTCTCTCTTGTGTACACAGTGAATCATTTCTGAGTTGTCTTTCAGTTCACTGAGTCTTTCCTTTCCTGTTGGTCCACTAAGCCTCTTACTTTGGGTTTCAGTACTAATATCTCCATAGAATTCTTCTTTGTAGTTTCTGTTTGTTTGCTGAGGCTTTCTATTTTATTTCATTTGTTTCAGCCATGTTGGTAGTTACTCATCAAAACACTTTTATCCTGGATTCTTAGACCTTTGTGAGGTCATTTTGGGATCTAACACTGTTCCAAATAGGGAAGGGGTGGAGATTGCTGCCTCATTCCTGGCAAAGGGTGTTCTGTCCTAGGTGTCTACTCGGTGTCCATTGTCACCCAAGGTAAATTTCTTCACTGCTACTAGGTGATGATGACCATCCTGATTTTTTCCCCAGCATCCTCCAAGTAGACATGAGACGTTGGGGATGGGAGTTTGTGCTCCCCACACGGTCTCTGCGAACACCACTTGTTACCAGCTGGCAGGGATAAGGAGTGTGAGTTGCTTTTGTTAAAGCCCCATCAAAGCCCAGCATCTGAGTTCCCATTCAGCCTCTGCTGGTGTGGATGAAGTTAGGCGATGTTATTTTCTATAGTGTTTAGCTATAGTTGACTGATAATTGTTCAAAAGCTTTCTGTCCAACTGGGCTTCCAGTATTGCTTCTCCAACAAAGTAATGGCAGAGTAACATGTCAATCAAATCAGAGATGCCACTGGCAGTGAAATACAACAATATTTTATGTATTTCTTAGAGCAAGTATGTGAGTAAACTGAAGATCCATCCTGATTTCAGAGAAGTTAGAATTTGGCAAGAGGTGTGTTTCTTGGAATAAATATGCTAGTTTTTGTGGGAAAAGACTTGCAGAGTAAAGAGCAAACAGTGACATGTAAATGTTCAAACATGTTTTATTTGCCTTTTTCCAGTTAACAATTGGGGATTGGTCAACCTATAAAAGCAAGAATTTCTTTTCTGAGAATGTTGACAAAACCCTTTAACCCCAATTTGCTGCCTCTCTCCCACAGGGATAGAGCTGCCTGCTTCGCCATCCAGAAAGGATTACAGGCATCACGTAGTGACATTAAGTTATTTAAGCATAATGATGTAGCTGACCTGGAGCGACTACTAAAAGAACAAGAGATGGAAGATCAAAAGGTATGATCCTTTTGAAGAAAATTGCACAGTTCTTCTGTACTTTCTAACCAGCTAAATTTTATATGAAGTAGTAATTTGTCATTGAAAACTTGCCTGCGGATCACATTTGTATATTAAGTAAGGGTGTTCCTGCCTATTAAATGTATTTTGGATTGGAGTCTGATTGTAATTGCCTTGTCATTGCCATAATTATGTATAGCAAATTTAGTGAGAGGTGATCCAGGCAGCTTTGTAAGAGGGTGAAGAGGAGAAAAACAGCCTGCATTGGTGAGTAGGGGAGATGTATGTTCCTAACTCTGAATAGTAGCACTGATAGCCATTAGGGCTTTAGCAAGATGTAGCTTGTGAATTCAAAGTATGCTTATTCATATCAGAATAAGTCATGTGTCAGTTACTTGGAAGAAAGAAATGGCAACAATCTTAATTTATTAATTTATGAGCAGAGTAGACCCTTTCCCCTGTGCCACTTTTCTCCTGGAGATCCAAGCAGCTGCTGTCCATGGAGGAACGAGTACCCTGAACAGGGTCTCCTTACATCTTGCAGCTCTGTCGTTCTGCATTCCCTGGAACCTGTATAACCTCTGATGGTGGTGTTTTGAAAGTGACTCCTAGGTGCTCTTGATCAGAGAGAATGCTACAAAGGAAGTCTTTCAAACCATCACTGTTAGGATTATCATTCATTTTCTCCTGGCAACATGGATGGCTTGTGGCTCTGCAGCAGTACACTGTCATATGTGGACTATCCTGTGAAGGTGGTCACCATGTCCTTTGTCTCAAACACTCCTTCATGAGCATTGCTGATGCAGCTCATTTATAACTGGAGTAAACAGTAAAAATGCTCATTACATTCCTTAGTTTTACCTTAATTTCTCATTTTCTCAAATATTTGCATTATTCATTTAGGATTCTATGTCTTTGTTTAGGAGTCAGCCTAAGTATACTTTCTGAATATATACATTCTCATGATGAATATGCATGAACTCACCATTTTTTGCTCAATCTGCCATAGGTCAATGTGTCCTATTCACACAATTTAGAAAAATATGCAGGAAAAATTCTAAAACTGAAGCTGTTCCATTGACCGATTTCTTTTCTTTTTCTTTTTTTATGGGGGGATAGAGTGGGGTAAGAAACTGTTCTTTTAAATCAAACCTCACACTTACCACTTGCATCCCTAGACACTACTGATTAATTTCTTTTCATAAAAAGATGGCCCTTTTTCTCATTCAGTATTAAAATGCCAGCCACCAGATTAAAGAACACTCTTTGGAGCCAGTCTGCTGTAGAATTTTTTATGGAATTAATATTGTACAGATTTTGAAGATGTCATGTTCAAGTTTTGCTTGTGCTATTCATATGATTTATAATCCGTGGACCTTTTTATGAATGACAACAAAAATTAAGTACTTTTCCTTTTTTTATTGTACTGGTGATTGAATTCAGGTCCTCTCACTTCTAGACAAGTGCTCTACCACTTGAGCACGCCTCCAATGTTTTTGCTTTTAGTTTCTTTTTCATATAGAGTCTCGCTAATTTGGCCTGGGCCATGATCCTCCTATCTCTGCCTCCTGAGTAGCTGGGATTACAGGCATGTATCATTATGGGTGACCCAATTTTACTTTTTAACTAATTAATTTATACCACATTTTCCTACCAGGAATAGGCTTTCTAAATAACTTTGCATTTTGGTTTTTTGAAATACTTTTTTCAATTTCATTTTCACATAAATAATAAATCTCATTGTTCATTCTTAATATTTTATACTTGAACACATACCTTTCCTTTGAAACAAAATTAAAATATTACACTTTAGTCCAGAATTCAGTCAAACTCTGTCAATTTCACAAGGCATGATTCATAGAGGTTAAGCATCCTCAGTGATATATTCTTTTGTAGAACTCAATAAGCACACTTTTTATGCATTACAACTGTGGGTCCAAAATACCCACACTGCCTTGGAAAGTATGACCATGGAGCCAGTCTGCTATAGATTTTGGTTTTTGTGGAATTTAATATTGTATTGTCTTTCAATGAAGTTTCTAACTGTCCTTTGGAGCAGAACCAAGAGATCTTTGAGTAGGAAGAAAGTGAGGAATTCCATCTGTGGATCTCAGTATTTTTTTAGGCCGACACTCCTGAAGCATCTATAGATTCTTATTTGTGAGAGATTTCTTAGTGATCTGTTGTGGGTGAGGTGTTGGAGATACATATAGTTTAAGAAGTCTTCCACGCCATACCTTGGACTTGATTCATAATTGAATTTTACTTCACTCAGTGATAGGTCAGTGAATAGCAGGGAAAGAAAAGGTTTCACTGTTGTTTTGGTAGATGAGGGAGATAAGAGTTTGTTCACTTTATAACTTTAGTTGCGAAAAATTGCCAACACACAAAGGAAATATGATGGTAATGCAGCACCTTAGGCCCTTCTCCTAGTGCTGTTTCAACATTCTTCCACTGAACCTGCTCTTCAGCTTGTCTTTTGGTGGTATTGATGATCTTGTATAGTTGTTTTTCTTCTAGGTAAAATCTAGATAATGAAATGTGGTATTGACCAATGGGTTTTATCCATGTAACAGAGGAATCAGTTCTTCATTCTGATATAAAACATTCTCATCTCCCCCAGAAAATTCCATCAGGCTCCGTCCCAGTCATTCTGGGGTTGGAGGGTTTTGTTTGTTTTTTTATATTGTCATAATGAATAGGTAGCTTATGTGTATGTGTAGTTGATACTATAAACTGAAAAACATGCCCAAAAGAAGAAACAGGTTACTTCTCAGTGTTGTTCATCTCAAAATAACAAGATTTCAAACAATGTGCTTTAATTCAGGCTTTTTGTTTTTTTTAAGAAGTATTGTGAGATGAAAGTTCTAGGGGGTACTGAAATTTACCATGTCTGTTTCTTTTAAAGAATCCTCGAAAGGCTCGTGTAACTCGACGTTTCATCATAGTAGAAGGATTATATATGAATACTGGGACGATTTGTCCTCTTCCGGAATTGGTAAGCAACCATATTTAGTCATTTTGGTGCTTAAACTCTGGCAGATACACCTTTTGCTTATGATCACATTTAATGTGTAATGTTTACACTGCTTTGCACGTTAGGTATCATAAGCATATTTTAATCTGGCAAATGGATTAACATTAAATGCCAGTGCTGGCCTTTAAGGAATAATCAAGACTTAGCTTTTAAAAACCAGTGTTACGTATTTTATCATATTATGAAACTACTTTTGTGTCAGTGTTTTCAGAAATAATGAGATTTGTCACAGGAATGGTTTCCATTATTATCTTTTTTACATATTGTGATTTTTTTTTTCTGATATTTAGTTCAAAATATTGACTTTTGCTGGTACTGATAATGAAATAAAAAAAATTAAACCATGTTTATATATGATGATTAAAACAATGCCAACTTTATTAAGGCAAAATTGACTTGTAAAACATACCTACAGTACAGTTTTGTAAGTTTTGGCACATGTATATACCACTGTCAGCACTACTATCATACTCAAGATACAGAACATTTTTATCATTCCAGAAAGTTCCCTATGCTCTTTATAGTTAGTACCCATGCCTGTCCTCAGACAATCATTGATGTACTTTCTGTTCCTATAGATTAATTTTACCTTTATAGAATTTCATATAAAATAAAAGCAAATAAAGTATATTTTGTAAAACTCAGCCTTTTGACAGTGGAAAGCAATATTCTGTTTTTTGAAACCATGACGTTTAAAATTTTCCTTATCAAGGGGAAATTCATACAACACAAAATTAACCATTTTAAAATGTACAGATCAGTGGTACTCAGTATGTTCACCATGTTGTGCTACCCTCAACTCCATATAGTTTCAAAACAAAGAGAACCTCACACTTATCAAGCATTTACTCCTCACATCCCTCTCCCCCTTGCTGCTGAGTCTACTTCTGTCTCTATGGATTTACCTATTCTGAATAGTTCCTATAAATGTCATATAATATGAGACCTTTCCTGTCTGGTTTTATTCACTAACATGTTTTCCAGGTTCACATTTTATCTGTTCTGTGAACATTCAACAAGAATCTTTTTTGTGAATCCCTGTTACGGTATTTTGTGTCTATTTCTAATAGTATAACTGTAATTATATAATCTGTTTAAAAGAGAGTAATAATAATTCTGTTTTTAACTTTTTGAGGATCTACCATACTGTTTCACAGTGACTGTACCATTTTACATTCCCATCAGTAATGTACAAGGTTTAGAATTACTTCACATTTTGCCAACACTTACTTTCCAATTTGGTTTGTCTGTTTTAGCCATCCTAATAATCTCATTGGAGTTTTGGTTTGCATTTCCAAAATAACTAATAATGTTGAGCCTCTTTTTATGTACTTGTTTTCTATTTGTGTATCTTCTTTGGAGAAATGTCTATACAGACTTTTGATTGCATTGTCTTTTTGTTATTAAATTATAAGAATTCTTTATATGTTCTGTATTCAAGGCCATTATCAAATATGTGATTTCAGTTATTTTGAGGTTTTGTTTCACTTTGATATTGCCCTTTGATGCACAAAAGTTTTCAATTTTGATGAAGTCCAATTTATTTCATTCTTGTTTGTGCTTCTGTGTCATATCTAAAACTCTGTCTATACAAAGGCTACCAGGGTTTATTCCCTTTTTCCTTCTAAGAGTTTTCACTCTTACAGTTAGGTCTGTGATTCATTTTGTGTTATTTTTTTATATTGGTGCTGTAAGACATTTGCATGTGGCTATCCATTTTCTCCTTCTTTTGTTGAGGATACTTAATTGTTTTTCCATTGAGTCGTATTAGAGCACGCTTGTCAAATACCAGTTGACGCAGATGCATGGTTTATTTAAAAACTCTCAGTTTTATTCTGTTCCCTGTATGTCTCTCCTTAGACCAGTACTACACTATGTCAATTATCATAGTTTCATAGGGGACTTTGTAATCACAATGTATGAGTTCTTGGACTTTGTTCTTCTTTTTCAAGATTTTTTTAACTATTTGGTGTCCTTGAAATTCCATCTGAATTTTGGATAAAGCTTTCCCATTTCTGTAAAGAAAAAAAATGCTATTTTTGATAGGGATTGCACAAACATGTAGATCACTTTGGAACACACTGCCTTCTGCAGGACATTAGGTCTTCAATTTGTCAATACAATGTTTCCTTTTACTTAGAAATTCTTTAATTTCTTTCAGGAATGTTTATACCATTAGTGTGTAAGTCTTGGACACCTAAATTTATCACATTAATTCTATTATGAATGGAATTTTTCTTAATGTACTTTTTGTATTCATTCTTAGCTTATAGAAATACAACTGATATGTATTTATTTCATTTTTTCAAAATTAATGAATACATTGTATACTGCTCACACTACATGTGATTCATTCGCACTGATAACTTGTAGCAGAATAAAGTTTCTCTAACACTCATTTTCTCATAAGACACATCACTGACTTCTTACACTTAAAGACATTAGAAAGCACGTCAGCTGGGTCCTGGTGGCTGATGCCTATAATCCTAGCTACTCAGGTGGCAGAGATCAGGAGGATCGTGGTTCAAAGCCAGCCCAGGCAAATAGTTTGTGAGACCCTATCTCAAAAAATCCCATCATAAAAATAGGGCTGGTGAAGTGGCTCGAGGGGTGAGCCCTGAGTTCAAACCCCAGTACTGCAAAACACACACACATACACACACACACACACACACACACACACACACACACACACACACACTTCAGCATTTCAGTGGGGCCTTTTAAATCGCAGGATCACCAGTAAAAAGCATAAAAATATGGAAAATGTTGAAATAGTGTCATTGGAAACTACACTTACTCAGAAAACAGTTGCTGAGAACATAACATGAGCATCCAGTAACTCAGTTCTTCACCACTCTCCACATGCATGTCTTCTGACATGATGGATATAAGCAGGTCAGTTGGTAGGTAGGTAGGTTGGTTGATCGATTGGATCGCTAGATGAGTGTTCATTTGGGGGTTACAAATAAATTTTAACAAGTAGGTGAATTCACAAATACAGAATTGACAAATATTGAGGGTCAGTTGTACATACTTTTAAGTTTAATATTTTTCTTTGAAATATATTCTTGATGCTGTTAATTATAACTTTTAAAGTTGTGTGTTTTATTTAACACCTAGGTTAAATTAAAATACAAATACAAAGCAAGAATCTTTCTGGAGGAGAGTCTTTCATTTGGAGTGCTTGGCGAGCATGGCCGAGGAGTCACTGAGCATTATGGAATCAGTGTAAGTTCTCCATTTGGGGAAATCTTCCCTCCTATAAAAAACATGCAGTTTTATTCTGCTTGACATATTTTCATAGGCACAATTTGGTGCTCCTTATCTGTTTGGGGGTTCATGAGCCCTTGGTCTCTGTTGCCTCACTGAACTCAAGGTGGATCTGGTCAACCTGGCCAGAAGACCTCTCTGCTTTGGAATTCTTGTTCTGTGTACATGGGGATGTTTGATCTTCACTTTTTATGTCTCTTCTAAAACAGTTAAATTTTGCTTTGCATTTATTAAAATCATGAGGAATTCCCTTAGTAGTCCTTTAAAAAGGATTTATGGTAACAGTGAAAGGATTTTTATTATTTAAAATTATGTATTTTACGAAATTTGTATGGGGGAGGGGTAGATACAGTATGCCATGCATGTTTGTATACATATGTATGTATGGGAGGTATATATATGCATGTGTGTCTGTGTGTGTGTGTGTGTATATATGTGTGTATACACACACAGAAACATCCATACATAAACACATACATATTATTTATACACACACACACACACATGCTGAAAGACCCAAATAGTTGGAGTGAGTTTGCCCTGTCCTTTTGCTAGAAGGAAATGGATCCATAGTGCCCAAATACCTACTGGGCCATGCATCTGGAGCCTTGGGACAGGACGAAATCAGCCAGGCTTGGGCATCTGGTTTTTCTGTCCACCATGGGATAGAGTTACAGGGTGCTTTTCCTCCAAAATGTATGCATTACAAGCTTTGCAACCTGTGTTATAATGTTAAATTATTAAAATATAAAAGGCCCTTAGATTATTTGCCTTTTAGCACCCATACTGTATTAGAGAAAAACATAGTGCAGTGTAAAAAAATGTGCCACCTGAAAGTAAGGAGAAGCACACTCTCCAAAGGCAGACTGACATTTAGCATTTAAATGCACAAGGAATTTAAGATGGATGGAAATGGAATTCATACAAATTTAGCAGTACATTCTTAAGGCATGAAAATTTTTAAAGAAGAAAAACACTTCACTGTTGTTGCTTTCTAAGTGGTTTCAAAAGTTGTAGCTGAGGAAATGTTATCAAGAGCTGAGCAAGAGCGCAGCATGTGCAGACATAAATTAGATACTGGTTCAAGCATGCTGATAAAATGAAAGTTTTGTAAGACAGTCTTTGAACACCGAATATTTGATAATATTAAGAAATTGTTGATATTTTAGGTGGTAATAGTTTTGTGACTTTTTGGAAGAGTCTTTATCTTTTAGAAATACATACTGAAATGTATGTGCATGAAACTCTGAAGTCTGGGGTTTACTGCAAAGAAATGTGAGAGCAGTAGGGGCCACAGACAATACAGGGTTGTCCTGAAGTGATTGCCCTTGAGTGATTGAATCTGGATGCTGGATAGTCTGCTTGAAACACTTCATAATAAAAAGTTGGGAATACAGAGTAGGAATGGAGAGGTTTACCAAGAGTGCAGATATTGTTGGATCTAAGGAACACTTAGAGATATATCAGATGAGATTTAGTGAACCATTATCACAGCCCTCAAGAAGTAATTGCTGAATGCCTGCTTTCTAGCCAGAATAGCTGTTGGGGACCACAGTAGAAGACAAGAACCAAAGGAGTTCTGAGGAGGTTATAAGATGTAGGAACTCATAAGCCATAGGGTACAGTAGATTCATCACTGCTCGTTTGGTCCAGTTTGATCAAAAATTCTATTTCCATCATGTTAGGAGTGTTGAAATGATGAAAGGCAAATTGAAAGGAGGAATAAAGTGCTTTAAAAAACCTTTAATCAATTTAGTTTTGCAGTAAGCCTACCTTATTCACAGATTTATTACACATGGTTTTGACTAAGCATGATCAGAACAAATTCCCACATGTGCATTACGCAGCTTAGTTAATGCTGAGATGCTCTCAGTCCTGTGTTATCATGAGTTTTGTTTAGACTATGCATTCTGAGCATTTGTGGTTTTCCTCAACAGCAGTCTTCTTGGAACCATATGCCCATATGCCCAAGGGTCTACTACATTTATCTCAAGAACCTTCTATGGCAGTGACCAGCCAACATAGTCAATTCTTGACTATGTTAATATCAAACTGCTTTGGATCTCATCTCCCTTTAATTTACTTATCTGTTCCTCTGTGAATAAAGTGGTACTATACGATGAAATAGCAAGAAAATAATAAGGTGAAACACTTCAGAGATGGGCCATGAGACTGAACTCTATTCAGTGATAGATTTTGTCTGGTTTATCCTTTATTTTCATCTAGGTAGTTTGTTTAAATCCAGATGTTTACAGGCATGGTTAGTGTTGAAATTTTTTGTTTCTAGGCTTGACGTTGACTTGTTTTTTCTTTAAGTTGGGGAATAACTACTGCTTTCTCCCACTTTCCTGGCAGATTGATGATATTGATCTTATCAGTGCCAACATGGAAAATGCGCTTGCTTCTGTTGGAGGTTTCTGCTGTGGCAGGTCTTTTGTAATTGACCATCAGGTAAACTCTTTTTAAAAATAAAAGCAAGCCAGGTTCAGTGGCTCAAGCCTGTAATCCTACCTACCTGGGAGGTAGGGATCAGGAGGATCTCACGTCTTGAGATCCACTCTGGACTAGTGACTAGGCACAGTGGTATGTGCCTGTTATCCCCACTCCTCAAGGAAACCCAAATAGGAGGTCCAGGTCAGCAGGCATAAAGCGAGACCCTGTCCCAAAAATAACCAACACCAAAAGGACTGGCAAAATGGTTCAAGTGGTAAGAGCACTTGCTTAGCAAGTGCAAGGCTTTAAGTACAGCCCTCAGTACTGCCAAAAAAAAAAAGTAAAATCTGAAATTAATTGTCCTGTTGGTCACTTCAAAATGCATCTTTAAAATAGAAAGTTTTACTTTTAGTTTAGCCCACAATTTTTATTAAAAGCTGATTCTTTAAATAATGATTCAGAATATTTATCTTTAGAAATTATGTGTTAACAAAAGGTCTTATTTTTGTTACATGTATAATGGTTTTTCTTGCCTAGATCTTAACCCCTCACCACATTTGCACACTGTGCAGTAGGTGGAGTAGAAATTTAGTGCCTTTCAAATGTTTTACTTTCCTCCCCGCTCCCCAAAAAAAGAGGATATAGATGTATGTGTTTTTGACTTGTGTCTTCTCAGCGGCTTTCTGGCCAGGGATACTGCTTTTCTGCTTCATTACCTCCCTTGTTAGCTGCTGCTGCCATTGAGGCCCTCAACATCATGGAAGAGAATCCAGGTATAATCTTTAAAATTTAGGTTAAGTTAAACTGTGTCATTTGTTTGCTTTTTTGAAGAAATTAGCCAGAGGAAATTACTTACCAGGTAAAAGTCTGGCCCTGAATTACATTACAGGCTGAGCATGCCTAATCCAAAAGTTCAAAACTCCAAAAATTTTTGAACATAGGCAATTTCAGACTTAGGGAAGCTTAACCAGTAAGCAAATGCTACAAAATCAGAACAACTCGGAAATCTGAAATGCTACTTGTCCCAAGCATTTCAGTTAAGGATACTCACCCCATAGCTGGGATTTATAGAAAGAATGGCAGTGAAGAAGCTACTACTGCTGCAGGTGGGGGGCCAGAACTTTTATCCTATGCTCAGAACTGGAGGCAAAGCATGGCTGGCTGGCTGGCAGATGCAGATGGAAGGAGGCGGAGGGACCATAGGTCAGTGCCAGGCCTAGATTCATTCACATAAATAGTCATTATTTGGCTTATAGTTTTTTATTAGAAATTAACAGTGTGCTCGTTTTTGGTCTATAAAATTGTATAACTATTGTTAGTTTTCCCCTTCAGCTTTTCAATCATCAGTTGATACTGATGCCAAGCCTGTTTTGTCAACAAACAACTTAGTGGGCAAAATAAAAAGTCAACTGAGAATTTAAAGTGTGCCCTTTGGCTATAATAGCACTTACCAAAGCATAAAATGGAGAGGACATTCTGAATTTTAGTATTTATGTTAACTTAGAGAATCAGAAGACTTGTGAGTATGTCTGTGTGTATACCTACATGCTCACTTGCGAAGTGGCTTGGCACCCTGGCCTCCTGGTCAGATACTTTTGTTTTTTGATTTTCCTTGAATAAAAGGAAAATACTTAAAAAAAAAAAAACTTTGCTACAGTGGATTTTTTCACCAAACTACTTATAATCAAGAAATAAGTAATAGAGTTATATCCTTTTAATCTTAGCTGGATTATCTATAGAATCTTGATAAGCACAAGAGCCATTGTTTCTGAAATCATCATCCCAGATTTTGCTGAAGTAGGATGGTAACAGTGAGAAGAGGCCAGTTAAGATGTGCTGAAAAAGGAAGCTCGGGCCCTCAGAAAAGTACAAGTCAGTGTCTCTATTTGTATGTGGAAGGATCTGCAGCATTGTAAATTGATGAAGTTGAACTAGACCTTTAAAAATATTCTTAGGTTAGCCCTATCAAATTACCAAATACATCATCATTTTTTCCATTCAGGTATTTTTGCAATATTGAAGAAAAAGTGCCAACAAATTCATAAAGCTTTACATGGGTAAGTGCTGTATTTTCAACTAACATAAAATTTGTCTGCACCACACTTAAGTAGCTAGTAAGGTTTTAAATTTGATAGACTATGGTCAGTTTAGCCACATTGAAACTAAGGAACCAAAAACTCAGTTCACTCAACTTTGTTTCTTTGTATAAAACTAGAGCAACCATTTTGTCATTGTTTTGAATAATCATGCTTTTGCTTTTCTACAAATTAAACAGCATTCTAATAAAATTCTATAGGAATACAGAATATAAAAAATAACCCAGCATCTCATCATAAGAAATAAGGTAAATATTGGAGCAACTTTCCACATCTCCACAGAAAAAAAGGGATACAGTTATATTTTATGTCATTGGATATTTCTAGGTTCCTACTGTCCATGTTACATTTTAGCAGATTAAGACATGAAAAAGAAATAAGTGAAAGCTGGGCACAGTGACTCACGCCTGTAATCCTAACTATTTAGGAGGCAGAGATCAGGAGAATTGCTGTTTGAGACCAACTAGGAAAAATGTTTGCAAGATTCCTATCTCCAGCAATAACAGCTGGGCATAGTGTGCACATGACATTCCATCTACATGAGAAATATAGATAGGAAGACCCATGGCCCAGGCTGGCCCAGGCCTAAATACAAGACCCTAAAGCAAAATACCTAAAGCAAAAAAGGATGGTGGGGGCATGGCTCAAGTGATAGGAAAAAAGTGAAATGTAAGTGAATCTTTTTTTTCTTTTTTTTATTGTTATTATTATTAACAGTAATGTGGTTTCATCTCAGGGCTTCATGTTTACTAGGCAGGCGCATTACAAATTGAGCCATGTCCCCAGCCCCTTTAAATGTCTTATGAATGCTTTTCTTTTTTTAAAAAAAAATATATATGTATGTATGTATGTGAGTAGCTCATTAAAATTCTTCTGGGGTTGAGGAAAAAAACTGAGGTTGGTGACATCTTCAGGCCTTTTTCTGGTTTCATGAGAAATGATCTCACATTGCCTAGGGTGTTTCCTTTCTGCCTCCTAAAGAGAAACATGCCTCCTTAGTATGAAAGTCCTGTCTCCTTTGCAAGATACAGAAACTAGATACTTTTTTGAAAGAAAAGGGCAGTTGATAAGTGAGTGGATTACAGCTCTTCCAGATAAATAGAAGCAGAGACAATGATATTTCTGGGTGTGACTGTACAATAGTAATGGAAGTTTGTGCATGATTTATGGTAGAGGAATATACTTGTATTGGTTTTAGTTGCATTGGCTTGTAAAAATATTAATTTCCAAACACATTGAAGGCACCATACATTCATCAGCACTATCCTCAGCTGCCCTTCAGAGTGCAGTCTCCCACCTTTTCTTCTTTCTGAAATCCTTAACTTTCTGTCATCACTCCATCCATTTTCACCTCCTGGTATCACTTGGGAATCCCTTCTGTTTTCCTAAGAAACCTGCATAGCTATGGGCAACTAAGCCAAGCTCGTCTTCCTTCTGTTGTAGCCAAAGAACTCTTCCTCTAGCCAGAATAGGCCCTTCTTTTTTCTTAAGCACTGACAACCTTTGGTTGCCCCCTCTGCTTTGTTATCCTGAGTCATTTCGGTAGCATTCATGTCCTCTCTAATCACTTGTATTTATCCACTTCTGTATGTGACCCCACCTTCTCTTTTAGCAACTACCCCATTTCTTTGCTTCTTTTTATAACTAGTCTTCCAATAGTTGCATGTGCTTTCTCCACATCCTCATCTCTCAGTTCCCCTACAAACTACTGTGAGATCTAGCTACCTTTCTTACACTTCACCTAGACTGTCCTGTGGAATTCACCAGTGACTGCCATATTAAATCCAATGGAACATCTTCAGAGCTCACTTTATTTATGTTTCAGTAGCTTTCAGCACAGGTGACCATTCTCCTTCTGTGAGTTCTGCTACACCAAATTTGTAGGGTTTTTTTCTACATCTTTGAATTGCTTCATTGTTTCCTTTAAAGGCTTTCTTCAACAACCTGCTCTTTAGGACTTAGTCCTTGCCCCTCCTCTTTTCTTCTCATTAGCTTCTTAGGGAATTGCCTTTCACACCTGATGCTTCAAATTGTTTCATGACCCCTGCATGTGGGTGATTCAGAGACCCTTGTTACTGTGCCATACTTTTAGGCCTCCAAGTCTCACATTTTCAGTAGCTATGCTTGGAGGACTCCACATACTAAAACTAGAAGAAGTGTGAAATGAAATAGCAAATGCAACAAGAAGGCAGCCAGTTTTGTCCGAGAGAAGTGAGGGGGGACTCTAGTGGAAGATGAAGGCCAGGTAATGGGCCTTGCAGGCCATAAGAAGAGGGTTGGCTAAGGTAAGAAGCCATGAATGTTTTTGAGTGAAAAAGTAGCCTGGTTCAACTGGACTTGGTAAATTGCTCCTGTGTAGTGTAAAATAATATATTGTCCAACAACAAGAGCAGAAGTAAGGAGACCAGTTAGGAGATGGATACAGACGAAAGGTGGTTTAACTGTGAGTCATCGTAACCATGAGAAGCATGTGGATTCTGGCTGTATTTTGAAGATTGAATTTGGAAGTTTGGAATTTTGATTGATCTTCCAGCCGTTCATATGCAGGGTGAATGAGAAAGAGAAGACTCTAAAGTTGATCTTAAGGTTTTGATCTGAGCAACTGGATAGAACAGCTATTAGGTAGATTGCTAGAACAATGGAAGAAATGTTTGGTGGACAGTTCAGTGTTAGATGTTGTTAGACGTCACATAACCATCAGACATCTAGAGGAGAACAGCACTTGAATGCAAAAACTTAAGTTTGAAAGTCCAGGGCTAGAGGTAAATTTTTGAATCTTCAGCATATAGATAGTATTTAAAGCATTTCAATGTGAAGAGGTCAGGAAGGGGATCAAGGAGGAGTGGACAAAAAGAAAAGAGGCAGACCAGAAGAGTTCAGGATCCCAGAAGCCAAGTGGCGAAGGTGGTTATGTAGGTCAACATGTTGTTGCCAGTATGCCAGGCAACATGACTGAATGTCAGTTCTTTGATTTTGCAATGTGAAGCTTACTATGATTTGTTGAGCAATTCCAGGGCAGAATGCCTGACTAAAGTAGGTTCAAGAGAGATTGGGAAGAGAAGAATTGGATTCAACTTAAGTATTTTGAGGTGCTTTCTGTAAAGAGGAATGACCAAAGAAATGGAATGGTTCTAGAAGAAGAAACTGGGGTCAAGAGAAGATGACTCAGGACAGTTTCTAAATAATTTCCAAGTAGCACATCAGTTTTTCTACTGGTAAGTAAGGCTGTGTCCATCATACAGCAGTCTCCCATTTTTGCAAAGGTCTGTTTTTGAACCATCTCTTCCATTTCATTGATTTATTTGCTCAGTTCTCAGACTCTGCTTTTATTACTAATAAATTTTGAACTACAAGTTCCTCCATAATTATTGCTAGAATTTTAATTAGAATTGCACTAAATTTCTGATTAATCTGGAGAGAATTGTCATGTGCGAACATGTCTCTATTCATATGAATCTTCCTTTGTGTTCTTTAATGGAATTTTAAAAATTGCTTCCTCCCCCCACCAAGGCCCTTGTACCTTATCGAAAGTTTAAAGGAAATTTCTAGATGGCCTATAGATTTCTCTTGCTATTATTAGGATTGTGTTTTATATTTTCTACTTGATTATTGCTGTTTGTGAGATGTTGTTTTCTTTAAACTAATCTTATGTGTGGTAGTATTTAAGCTCTTTTTTTAATTATATTCTGTTATAATATGTGTAGAAATCCCATTATTTGCAATAATGGATTTCTGTCTTTCTTTCCCAGTTCTTTTTCTTTTGTTGCATTGGTCTGGGTCTCTAATACAGTGTTGAGCAATGGAAGTAATAGCAAACATCCTTCTCTTATTCCCACTATAGAAGTGTTTCTTCCTTAGATATAAGACATCAAACTACAGGTTTGTGATGGTGGCCTTTAGCACATTATTCCTAGATGTAGAGACTTTTTAAAGTCATAAATGTTAAACTTTATCACATATTTTCTTATTTATTAAGATAAATCATACATTTGTCTTATGACTGAATTATATTGATATATATTTTCCAATGTTAAACTATCCTTGCATTCCTGAGAAAGCACCTGCTCTGTTACACTATGTTTTTATTTTTGTTTTTGTCTCATTTTGTGTGACTGGGGTTTGAACTCGGCTTTGCTTGCAAAGCAGATGCTCTACCTCTTGAGTCATACCTGTAGTCCATTTTGCTCTGGTTATTTTGGATGGGATCTCGTGAACTATTTATACAGGCTGACAATCCTCCCGATTGCAGCCTCCCAAGTAGCTGGGATTATAGGGGTGAGCCACCAGCACCTGGATAATATTTGAATTAGAAATTTTATATCTATTTGTAATTTAAATAGGCCTACAATCTTTTGTTATATCTACTTTAAGCAACATAGAAATAAGTGTTATGGTAGCTTTAGCACATGATTTGGGCATTTTCTACTTTTTGCTTCTTGGAACCACTGAGTAAGACAAGGCCTAATTTATTTGTTTTTAATGTTGCTCCTAACCCCCTTTAATAATCTTTAGGCCTAGGACTGCTAGGATTGAGTTTAGTTTGTGATTATCTCTCTCCTATGATATTATTTGTTCTTTTTATTTTGTGTTTCTGTCCTTCCATTTTTAAGATAATCTTCCCAGAACTTTCTCTAGGACATTTTTTCTTTGGTTTTGTGTGGCTTTTTTTGCAGTTGGTTTTCTTTCATTAATTTCTTCTTTTATTTTTATACAGTCTTATTTCATTGCATTGTGTGCTTACTCCTTTTTCACTTCTTACATTTAGTTTACTGATACTATTTTTCCCCAGTAAATACATTAAAGGTAAACATTTTCAGAGGCATTATCTTCAACGTTTAATCTAAGAGGTGCTTTTATTTCCCCTTACCTTTCTCTAATCAGTGGTTCAGTTCTTTCATCTCTGAGAATGAGTTTGTGAAGGAAGTAAACAGCTTATGCTATTTGCTTTTCTGTCAGAAGCTTGAAGATGCCCTCCCATAATAGTGGAGATGGTGATTGGTGTCTGGCTCTCTTCCTAGACTGAAAGCATACAGTGGAAGCTTTGGCTGCCATGTTGGTTGCTCTGAACATGAGACCTAATCCAGGCTTGATATTTACCCATCTGCATAAAGTAATATGCTTGCTGGATGCTTCCTTTAAAAAGTATATGATAGGCTCTGAAACACAGCTTCTAAGTTTATAAACTTGAGCTTCAATTCTGTGTCCATTTGATTTTAGTTAAGCTCATGTGACATTTAGTATCTAGCATAAGAGATAGGGTATTTTGTTTCATCCCTTCTCCCACCAGCCTATCCCACCCACCACATGTGCTGAGCCCATTTGATCAAAGCACAAGCTAGAATTTAGGCTTCTGGTGCCTTATATAATTGAGGAAAAGAAGAAAACATGCCATTCAGTTTATATGAAATGCTATTTGAAAATGATTTTTTAAGTTGTCCTCTGAGAAAACATGAAGAAAATTGATAGTTTGGTGTACCTATTCAAAAATCACATAGGAAATAGATTTTTAAGGTATATTGCTTAGTTTCTGCATCAGTAAAAGAACTAATTTTGCACATTCCAGATGCCCTAAAATCTAATATTCCATCACATCATGGAAAGGCCTGAGCATGGTGTATTACATTTAAAAAAAGGAGACACAAATTAAGGGTGGTCAGGGGTGTTTAAGGGAGGTTAGAAAGCCCGATAAGATTAGCTTCCAGCACCTCACAATATTCATGGCATATGGTTGATGTATTATAAGCTTCCATCACTATAGTAAAATTCCTGAGGCAAAACCGATAAAGAGAAAAGGTTTATTTAGGCTCACGGCTTTGAAGGTTGCAGTTCATGATCAAGTGGCCACATTTTTGGGGGCTTTGGCAAGGTGGTAGTGCATGGCAGAGCAAACCACGTACCTCATGGGCCAGGGAAACAGAGGAAGAAGAAGGAATCAGGGTCCCACAATCCCTTTTAGGGGCCTGCCCCCAATGACCTCAAGACCTCTGACAAGGCTCTACCTTTTGAAGGTCCACAGCACCTCCCAGTAGTGACCTCTGGGGATCAAGCCCTTAACACATGGACCTTTTGGGGACATTTACTCAAACCGTAGCAGTAATCATTCTGTAAAAACTTGTTGAGTCCTAAATTGGAAAAATCTAAATGTGCTACCTCATGCTTTATTTCATTCTCAGGGAAAAGCAAACCTTTCTAAGTAAAATGAACTAAATGAAAGCAATCTAAAGTGTTTAGCCTAATTTCAAATAGACAGGAATCATCACTTGTGTCCTATAAGATAGACCAAAAACCAAGTAGTATTTTTTTATGACAGGATAAAATGGACTTTAATTGAGCCTGATGAAATAATATGGCATAGAGTTCTAATGACATTTGTAATAATCATTTTTAAATACAGGATTTTACTCCTAAAGAAATCTGCCTTCTTCCCTTAGAAGCCACAGGTTTTTGTGCTGTTAATTCTGGGAAGGAAATCTTAATCCAAGTAAAATGTAAAACAATTCACGTAAATAAGGAAAGTTTTCAATCTAAATGTATTGCAGGTACTTAAAATATAATATTAATTTCAAATTATTTCTATAATATATGAGAGACAAAGTAGATACTAAAGACTTGCATAATAAGCAAGGAATCCTAACATTGTAAATCATAGTAAGTAGACCATGCAGGAATCAAATGTGATAAATAATAAGCAGTAATGGAATGGACCTGTCCCTAAAGTGGATGATGAGGGATATTCCTTCACAGGGAGGCAATACTGAAGCTGGACCCTGACATTTATAGTGCTAGTGGGAACAAGAAAGCCTAGCAGTTGAGGTGAGGATATGGTGGGGTCAAGCCCTAGGGCTGAGGGGACCTGTGAGGAGGTACTACGCAGAGCATGGAGCAAGGGCATCCAGACCTCCAGTGGAAGGCTGGAGAAAAGAGGCCATAGTATGTCTGAGAGCAGGGGCCCTTCCTAATGATCATGTGCTCACAGAAGCAGTTCTACAGGCATTTTCCTGGACTGGGAGGCACTGACCAGAGCAAATAATTTATCTCACTTTGCAGGAATTGGAATTACAATATATGGTGCTTCAATCAAAGTCATGGTCTAATTCTATGCTGTTCAAACAGTCTGAACAATGTAGTCCTTTAAAATTACTTCTGTGTGTGATGCTTTGAGCCTGGAAGGGTTCCATGAGTATACATGTGTTTGCTTCTTCAGCATCTCTGGATTAAAAGTGGTGGGGGAGTCACTTTCCCCAGCATTCCACCTTCAGCTAGAAGAGAGCAGTGGGTCTCGGGAAAAGGATATGAACCTACTTCAGGAGATTGTAAACCAGGTAGGTATCACTACCAAGTGAACTTCCCATGCCCCTCCCTCCCTCACCCCTAATAACAATTTTTGTCATTTTCAGAAAGATATTTTTGCCCTGAGAAATGGGGTACAATAAAAGTTCCTGGTCACCCCACTCATGAGTGGGATTGTCCTAATGCCCCTGAGCCTTTCCATCCAGTCCTGCTGAGTTCAAAGTGTGTCTTTAGTGTTAGGCCACAGGCCTTCTCGCTCAGTGGGTCAATTTAGCTTTCACGGAAGATCCTGCTTTGTATTTAAATGTACTTGACTTCTCTCACTTGTTCATCATTTGCAGAGCTGAGCTCTCAGACTTGCAGTTAGGGGAGGCAATTTGAGTGCAACTCACGTCTACTCCTGAAGAGCTCTAACATGAGGGAAACCCCCAAATAGCACATAGATAGCCATTAACTTATCTGAAACCACAATACTCCTGAAGTGCTACAGGAAGGAATACTTCTATAATATGCCTAATTTGGGAGATGTATATAAATTTCTTTGCCATTTGAAAGTCATTACTATGTAATTGTTGAATTGGCAACAGATCACTGGAGAAGCTGTTTGTCAGTCCTCTCAAAAGTGCTGCCTTTCTGAGGCCTCCCTTCCTTTCCTCTGGCTCTTCCAAACCTAGTGGAATGCATCTCTGTGGATATGTGCGCCTGGAACCACACTGCCTTTTGGTTAAAGCTGCCATACACCTGCATATGTGTTTGAGAATGAAATGGGCTTCATTCTGCTTTGACCTGCTACCCTGAGACAGTGCCACCAGGTGCCTTGGGGTAATGATGTCTGCTACATGTTGTGCAACTTTTCTAAGGCAGGCCCCTCCACACATATGGCACTTGTAGGTCGCATGGCTGCTCAGTATGCAGACTGGGTTGTGAAGGCCACCTCTGGCTGTACCACCTGCCTTAGCCATCCTCCATCCTACAATATTTGAACCATATAATCTGCAGTAATGGATCTGTATGGGAGTACACACAGTATGTAGTCTTCTGGGGTCAGCTGTATTGAAAACAAAAATTTAAAGAACCCAGAATTTGAGCTTCCTTAATAAAGATCCATGTCAGAGTATGAATAATCAAGCTAGAATGACAGCCTTGCTGGATGAGGGTGAGAACATGTCACAGGTGCCCTGGGGCATAGCTCTGCAGGCCTAAGAAAAGACAGACCTCCTTAAAGGGAACCAATATCCCACTCCCTCTTTACTACCTCAGTATTTTTATCATGATAATGCTTAAATGTGTACAGACACAAAAATACATTTATGATTAGAGATCTTAGACAAAGGTAAAATCAAAACAAATCTATAAACTCAATACAAACTAAATGGACAAAGCAGCACAGCTCCAGTTCATTGTATCACTGCTGTGTGGCAAGTGAGTATGTATTTTTAGCAGACTTGCCCTTGTTGGTAGGGCCACAGAGTGGGCCCTTGTAAGCTGCATGTTGGAGTCAGTGTAGGGGACCCTTTGTTTGCCCTCAGACTCCCCTCAACCTGCCTTAGGACAGTGGTCCCCACAGGCTTATGTGGAGGGACGTTAATTTTCTTTAGAAGCCATTGTATTTACTGCATACTAAGTCCCCCTCTGTTCTCTTTTATTATGTAGTAACATTAAACTACTTTGTTCCAAAGAAAGATAAGTATTGTGTGTATTAAATGATTTTACATGAACAATCCATGGTCACACAGATTATGAAAAACAAGACAAAAGCCCATGGACAGCTCACAGGCCCCAAATGCTGACCTGCAGGACCCCTTTTAACACTGTCTGTCTTAGTTGAGTTAGGAGAGAGCTGTCCAGGACACAGAACAAAGTACTATCTGGAAACTTCATTCATAAGGAAGAAAACAAAAAGAAAGATCTTAGTGCTTCTTTGCACAGTCACAGCCTCCCTCTTAAAAAAATTGTCACAGTCTTTGGTCCCACACCTCTGTTTTTCTTTTCTGTACTTATAGAGAGAAAAGAATCATGATGTAGCAATTCTTATGCTTTGTAGAACTGAGAGCTTTGCTAAGTTTATGTTGAGTTGCTTGACAGGACATTTCACAAACAGCTCTAGTTTGTAATGTCTCTTACCTGGACCAGACACAAAGCTAGATCAGATGTTTTCTGGAGTCTTAACATGCTTTCAAGTACATTTCTGAAACTGGAGTCAGTGAGAGGCGTCCATGTCACCTGTGTGGTTTCCTATCTGTTTTCTCATAACCCAGTCCCTCTTTAAGCAGATACTTTTACTGCCAGAATTAGTAGTAATTGTTCTGTATCCGACACCTTGCTCTGTTGATTGTATATATACATACACATAGGTACACACCACACACCCACACACATACATGTAATTCACATATTGTAAAAGTCATCCTTTTGTAAGTATACTATTCTGTGGCTTTTAGTGTTTTCAACAAGGTCAAGCAAGGATTACTGTGTAATTCCAAAACTTATCACCCCAAATGGAAACCCCAATGACCTGTTACCTTGCTCTAGTTTTTAAGCTTGCTTTAAGTAGAGAATGTTTTTTAAAAAGAATGTCGGCAGGTGGGTAATGCAGGGTAAACTATGCAGATGTTTTGTTAACATAAGACACTTTAGTGCCTGGGAGCACCTTGCCCACATGGAAACCATTGAGATTATTGCTACTGCCCACACTTGAAGTACAGTGGTTCTTATAGGATATAGTCCTGCTAATGTTTTTCTAAAGTCCAGCTCTTGGTCAGTCCACAGGGCTTTGCTCTTACTACTTCCCTGTATTCTAACTCTGCTTTATCTAAAATGGTAGCCACTAGCCACCTGTGGCTGTATAAGTTCAAACTAAAAGTATTTTGTAAAATTAGAAATGCAGCCTTGTAAAAGCACAAGCCACCTTTCTAAGTGTTCTTGACAGGCTCAAGATAACTGTCCCAGACACCAGAGCCCACACACACCCACCATAGCAGGATGGTCTAGAGAGTTAGTGTGCTGTCCACAATTATGTTGGATTTTAGATTTGTCTCCTAGAAATTTTAATCAGAAAAGTGAATTACAGTTACTGTTGAGGATTTTCAGTGTTCCTTCCTGTTTTAATTCCCAGGGTATGAAGACAGGGGTGCTAACATATTCCTTGTTTTTGGCCCACAGTGCATGAACAAAAGTATTGCACTGACTCAGGCTCGCTACTTGGAGAAGGAAGAGAAATGCCTCCCTCCTCCAAGGTTGGTGGACATCAAAGTATGGCCTCACTTTCTTCCCTACCTTCTTAAACTCTGTGACATATATTATGTTTTGAAATGTTTTGAAAGACTATTACAGTATAAGGAAGAATATCTGTCATTCAAACATATAACACATCACCTGTGTTCTGTTCTTAGACTGAGTGTTCTCCCAGTTAAATTTCAAAGAAATGTTCAACATCCCAAGAATAAACTGGGCACACAGGTTCCAATCAGCTAATAATCTGCCACATCCCAAGAGCACATGTGCTATACCCCCAGTTTCTGCCATGAGGACAGTCCTGCAGGGAAGGGATGCAATCTGGGTTGTGATCTTCTTGCCATCTCTACTGGCCAGAGTGCGTGGGTACTTCATTCATCAACCATCAAGATACCTATGGAAAAGTAGAGTAAAGGCAGAAAGATCTAGAGTCAGTAAACACAATGACAGTTAAAGATGATAAAGGAGACTGGATTCTGTCCTGAGAGCACCTACAAAGGAAGTAGACATCCATGCCATGGCCCTGGGTCAAATTCACAGAAAAAGGCATAGCCCTTCTTCTGCCCCTGTTCCATCCCTCCCTTAGATAATGCTAAGGCTTCTACTTGTTCAACTTAAGGTTTGCAACTTCACCATGATGTGAAAGACACTCATACATCCATTCTGTGTTTCATCTTGCAGTTCAGGATTTAATAAGGTACATGAGATACAAAATAGGCTTTGTATGAGATGATTTTTCCCAGTTGTAATTGAACTTAAGTATTTAGAGCACAATTAAAGTAGGTGAGACCTAGCTGTAAGGTTTACTAAGTCAGGCTTGTTAATCACACTGTCGGCATATATGTGATCCTCTCGTGTAGTGTTTTCCTATTCATCAGGCATTTGGTGGGCATCATGACCACCAGCTACATCTTCAAGCCCAGAGCATAAGCTACAGGTGGGCCAGGTGATATGGGAAACCCCGCTGGAGAGTGTGAGTGCTCTGCAGGTGCAGAATGCCAGATTGGGGTTTGGGAAGATCACTTCCCTCACTATTAACAGCACCCCTCCACTGTGTGATCCTGCATTGATGTGTTATTAGAACACAGATTCAGGAGGACATGAGCCAGGCTTGGTTTGTACCCCCGAGGCTCCATGCCCAACACAGTACAGCTCTATTCATAAATGCCCAATGAATGTAGCAGATGTTTGTAAAGGAAAGTGAAGGAGATAGAGCTGTCTCATCAAGCTTATATTTCTTTAATTTTCTAAGAACTTGAAATTTTCTTCCTTGTCTCAAAGTATTATAGGATGTTCACATTACTTATTGAATTGTAAATAGGAGCAACCAAACTCTCATTGATTAGAAAAATGTCACACTGCTGCTTTGTGGTGGTACCGTTCGGAGTAGTGAGTTGAGCAGACATGACTTCCTGGCCTGGGGAGCAGAGCCCCCCAGCAGGGCACTCTGATACACAAAAATGGTATAGGCTATGAAGCAAAGCTACTGCCATGGCAGCAGTGAATAGTAATAGTGAATAGGTTTGCAGGCCAGCTGCTCATCTCTGCCATGGCAGTGAGAAAATAGCTGTAGAGAGGAAGAAAAGTAAAGATAAATCAAATTCCTGTATAACTTTATTTGCAAAAACTTTTGGTAACTAGAGTTGGCTCATAGGCCATAGATAGCTGACGCTTGTTGTAGACTCTCACTTGATGATTTTTGATGTTCTTTATTATTTCTCAGCATCAGGGTTGTGGTCACAGTGGAACAAACAGAGGAAGAACTACAGAAAGCAGCATCTACCATCAAGGCGGTGGCCCAAGCTGTCCTGCTATAGACTGGACCCCGTGTTCAGTGGCTCCTGCCAAGGCACACACAGACAGAACTCAGGCTTCTTGCTGGCCAGGCAGTGACCTAAAGAGAACTCGGATATTTGATGTTTGCTACCAAATGGTATGGATGTGAACAAATGTGTGACTATGAAAAGGATGGATGCTGGTTATTTTTTAAAAAGAAAACACATCTAAAAGCCCAGGAACTTATATTTTTAAAGAGAAAGACTATTGATAGCATATATCTAGTATTTAAATGTGCTACTTAAATATTTTATTACGCTAGTGTTTTATATTCTTTTTTGTTGTTTAAAATTGGCACTTCAGTTTCTCTTCTCTCCCTTCTATAGAACAATTCTGTAAGCACTCCTTAATGTTTCATAGAAAAATGACTGCAACTTAATTAAGGCTAAGAGGAACACTTCATATGTGAAACAGAATTTACTGTCAAAGGTCTAATTCATTATATAAAGCTAAATGGTGGCTAATCTGCAAAGGGACACTTTTCGTGTGATTATTATAAATTTCATTATAATGTATTTGAATCCTAGAATTGTATGTACATGGATATTGATGTTTTATCATTTCTAATCTGAGCATCCCTAACCAGCAAATACTTCCTAAGTGAGTAATAATTTCAACCAAACACCTTTTATTTTAATGTAACTGGCCTTAGGTTTATTATGGGTTAACTTCTAATATGTTTAGAAAAAGGGTTATTGTATTGATCCCAAAATATAAATCATGTCCTTGGTATTTTTGAATATTTCAAATGCACGCTTTTTCTAAGCTAAGAAACATGAGAACTTTTTTCTTTTCATTTTACAAATTCCATATATCTAAGAAAGACTTGAAAGCACTAAAAGTAATTTTTAAGCTGTATTTCAGCTGTTTGTTCTTTAATAAGCCAAATTAAGTAGTATAAAGGTTTGTGATATGCTGTACAAGATAGCACATAAATTAACAACACCATTCTTTGTTTTATTAAATAAGATAAAGGAATAAAATTGTAAAACAAAAATGTCATTTTATAATCTATGTTCATATTGACAAATGGTTTTCAATGTCTTTTTAAATGACACAATAATTTTTTAATGTTAAGTTTCTATTTTGCTTGAGGTATTTCGTACATATGTGCCTTGTGATTGCTGCTGCTTTAAAGGATACAGTACTGTCTAGGGGGTGAGTCTGTTTTGTTTTTCTCTTTAATGAAATAAATCTACATTCCTGATGCTTCGTCTATTTGCATGTATAATGTACTCAACAGAATAGTCTTAATTTTAACCTTTTTGCAAACCCAGGGCAGTATTCTTTTTACATGTATAGTTTTGTTTTGTTTTGTTTTGCTTTGCTTTGCTTTGCTTTAGAAAATAATTTCTTAGTCTCTTCCTTCATATTCAACCAAAGAATGTATAACACCTGAAATTTCCTGGTTTCCTAGTGATTTAAGCATTGTTTACATTGGACTACAAAACCACCAGAATCACTAAAAACAGATAAGAATAACATTTTGGCTACTTTTATAAATCTTTTTAAGTCAAAATTACATCTTGATGTTTCTTGCTACTTTTTAAAAAATGATTGGAAGTTTTTGGGATAGGTGGAGCAATACACATTGGTTATCTTTAATCCTTGAAACACCACCATCATTTTAAACAAAAAGAACTAAAAACAATGTCTCTCTCTATACATATTAAAACTGTAAAATGTCCACAATAGAGTAATATTACCTTCCCCCAAAAAAATGTATCTGCTAGAAACTTTAATCCTTGGAACACCACCATCATTTTAAACAAAAAGAACTAAAAATACTGTCTCTCTCTCAGTACATATTAAAACTATAGAATGTCCAACAATCAAGTAATATTACCTTCCCCCCCAAAAAAATACATCTGCTAGAAACAATACAATTTGGTCAAATTGAGGCAAGACGCTGGAAAAGGAAGTCATCTCAAATCTGAAGCAGGAGACTGAAGATGTGGCTTAAGCAGTAGAGTGTCTGCCTAACAAGCATGAAACCCTGAGTTTAAGCCCCAGTTCTGCCCCTGACTCCCAAAAAGAAGACCAAATCTGAAGCAAGTTACAAATTTCTCTTACAGAGAGTGAGAGGACTCCAAAGTACTCTGTCAATGATTCTGAATTTTAAAAGGCAGTTGCTTGGAATGACTAGCATGAAAACCATTTGGAACCCTTTTCCACTTACACATTTGCTCATAGGAGAGAAAGGAACAGCACAACTTTCTTTTTATCATCTACAGATAGATTCTAACTCAGAAAAAGTGAGACTGATGTAGGTTGGTACAGAAAAATATCAATATTTCATAAAATTCTGAACTCCACTAATTTTAGCTTGTGTGCTCATTTTATATTCTATAAAAAGGAAATAGCTCTGCTTTCTGTCATATGCCACCAGTTGTAAAATGTATTCCAAAACTAGAGATGCTATAATTGGGTAGAAAAGGTGCTACTTAAAAATCTATGAATTAAGACAAATCTGATTTATGAGCCTGACACCATCTTTCCTAGTTTCCTAATGGACACAAAACCTTGATCCTAGAAGACAGATGTCTAAGTATTAATTTGGCCATATGTGGGTATCTCACACCATTCTTATGATACCAGATAAAAGCATCCACTACCCACATCTATACTATGAGTAATTACACTGTAGAACATACTGCAGCTCCCATACCTTACTCATTGGCAAAGAGAATGATCTTGGAAGCTTAAGCATGAAGGCATCTTTATGTTATGTAAAGGCTTAAGCAATCTCAGCAGCATGCAAAAAAAAAAAAAACATATTCCAGAGTTTCAAAGAAAAAGAAATGGCAATTAAGGATTTTATAGTCATAAAACTGTCTTTGAAGTAACAAAGACTAACAAAGTTACAAAAAAAAAAATTCAAACTTAGGGTTCAATATTGTAGTAATGAGCCTTTCTGAGAAATTGACTGAGTCAGCAACTCATCAAAAGACAACTAGAGATTTCTCTAGAAAGATTGTTGAGCTGTGAGTGTATTTAATTAGATATAAGACTCAAGTGAAAGACAATAGTTAGAATAATAGTATGTCAATGTTACCTACTCTGACAAAACAGAAAGTGTGCTAATAACTGGGAGAAGGAAGTGGCAAAGCAATGCAAATTAAATTTACCTGTTAATGCAGCTAATAGAGTTTAAGGGACATAAATTAGAACTAAAGAGTTTTGAAATGCTGAAAGGTTAAGAAAGGGAGATTAAAGACATACTGTAAGGAGTTTTTGATTATTAATATAACTAGTGGAACAAAATAGTCCTTCCTAAATTCTTTTTTTAAAAGCAAAATAGGAACACATAGAGGGAAAAAAATGCAACACAATCGAAACAGAAAATATAACAAAATAGCACAAGTAGAGACTGAATATATTAATTGTTGTCAGTAAATGTTCATGCACTTAATGTCTACTCCAAGAGAGTTTTTCAAACTGGTTCACAGAACAAAACTTCACTCTGCTTTATATACCACAATAGACAACTAAACTCAGTGCCTGGGCAGAGGGAGATGGGAATAAAATGGAACAATTGGAAGCAGCAATTTTTATATCAGACATGGTAGAATTCAGGCCAATGGACATTAAGCATGGAATGCTAAAGAACACAATTCAAAATAATGAGAAAATAATTGTATTTTTGCACTAAATGTCACAACCCACATTCACAAAGCATACTACAGGAGACTTGAGGGAAAATGGAAACAATTGGAGGTGTGAGGTTTTAGTCTAGGAAAAAAGTCAAGTGGGCAAAAAATAAGTAGGGCTTTAGATAACCTAAGCAATGTAGTATGATCATATGACAGTGTATCAAACTTACAGTATCTGTTATATAACATAAGTATGTATGTACACATGTGTATTTATATATTATATAATAAAGATGGATACATTACTATATAAAACACGAACACAGTGGTTTTCATACATAAATTTATATGATAAAACACATATAATGATCATACATATAAAGCATGGGTTAGCTTCATACATTACAGGGTTTTCAAAGAAATGAAATTTTTTTGTTTGCATATATGATTTTTTTTTATGTTGCTGGGGTTTGAACATAGGGCCCCATGCTTGCTAGGTAGACACTTTACTGTTTGAGCCATTCCACCAGACCAGAAATGAAAAATTTCAAAACATACTCTGGAAAAAAACAATCAATAAACGCTATCTCATTGTTAGCAAATGTTAGATTTAGCAGACAAAGGTTTCAAAACAGCTGTTACAAATAAGTTTTTTTTAAAACTGTAGGAAACCATGTTTATGAAATCAAAGAAACTATGATACTAATCTCAACAAAAGAAATTATTTCAAAGAGCCAAGTGAAAATTCTGAATTTGAAAAGTAAAAACCTAAAAAGAAAAATGGCTAAAAGGGGCCAACAGAGAGAGAAACAGGGAACCTGAACTGATCGAAAGCACATACCCCACTGAAAAAGAAGAAGCATAAACACTGAGGCTGCATGAACAGCACATCACAAGCCTGTGGGGAATTAAGCATGCCAACACGTTTGTGATGGGAGGACATGAAAAAGAACTGAGGATGGAGAAGGGGAAAACTACTTTTTAAGAAATCATGTCCAAAAACATCCCAAATTTATTTTTATGTTAACCTTCACACTCAAAAAGCTTAACAGACAAAGTAGAGTAAACATGGAGATTTATAACAAGACACATCATCTTCAAAATATAGAAAGGTAACCACAGAAAATTTTGAAAGCAACAAGAGAAAAATGATTCATCATCTCTCAGTGAACAACATAATTAATGAGTATGTTTCATCAGAAATAAGAGACCAAAATGCAATTAATAGATGTATTTAAAGTGCTGAAAGAAAAACTCTAAAAACTAAGAATTCTGTATTCAGGAAAATAATCCTCCAAAAATGAAAGTGAAAAAAGACATTCTTAGGAAAACAGAATTCATTGTGATCAGACATGACTTACAGGAAATACAGTAGCCGTACTGTAATTGTGGGTTATACCTTCCAAGATACCCCCACATAGATGCCTGAGACCATGGCTAGTACCAAACCCTATATTTGCTTTGTTTTTTACTATGCACATATACATGCCTATGGTAAAGTTCAGTTTTTAAATTTGGCACAGTAAGAAATTAACAGTTATAGCTATGAAAATAGAGTAATTATAGTCTATAATAAAAGTTTGGTGTCTCTCAAAATATTATAGTATACTCACCCTCTCATGTAAAATGATATAAGGCCTACATGACATGATGAATTGAGGTTAATGATGTATGCATTTTCAGTGTTAAGCAGCTACATGAGAGCTGTGTGAACATAAGCACCATGAAGCCTAATAGTTTAGACTGTGACTGTGCTGGTGGATACAGTGTTGATGCACTGGAGAAAGGGGTGATCATATCCTGGGTGAGAAATAGCAGGATAGTGTGAAATTTCATCACATTACTCAGAACAGCATGCAGTTTAAAACTTATGGTTGTTCATTCCTGGAATTTTTCCATTTAATGTTTTTGGAAAACAATTGACTGTGGCAAACTGAAACTGCAGAGAGTGGACCCATGGATTTGGGGAAACTGCTGTGTATGAGTAGCTTTAAGCATACATAATAAAGCAGTCAGATGTTGCTGAACAATGGTGATACCTTGTGAGAAACTGTTGGCTGTTTTCATCATTTCAAAAACACAATAAAGTGAATAATCCAAGACATCAATTATATAGATGATGTAATCTTATGGGACCACTGTTCTATATATAGTCTGTCATTTACTGAAATATTATGCAGCACATGACTATATTCATAACATGGCAGTTTTTATGAACAGAGTAATTCACTCAAGGACTGAAGTAAAGCCATGTTGAATTTGTTCTCACTACAACCCTCCCACTACACAATCCTGCCTGAACACTGTAAGCACTTCAATTGCAAAAAATACAAGTGATTAAAACTTGCAGCCAACAAATTGGCCTCAGATGTACAAATCTCAATGCAGAAACAAGAAATATTTTTTAAAGGCAATATGACAGCTTCAAAGGTTAACAACCCCACAGTAGCAGGCACTAAAGATAGTGAAGATGAAGAAAGCCCTGTCAAAGAACTCTTGAGTTCTTTGAGAATGATTGTAGGAATAATCAATAAAATTAAAGCAAACATTTATTAAAACATGAATTTCAAAAAGGATACAAATAAATAGCTGAAGAAACTCAGAGAA